CCCCCCACCACAGATAACAGTAGAATGTAACAATTCGGATAATGTGAGCCATAAAACTGTATTTAAGGGATCTGTGTACCCCTCTTCAGCCCATTAAGAACTTTCTTGACCACAGAGATTAGCTCTACACATTCGCAGTAGTATTTTGTGATTTTAATATTCCATCATATCAAAGGAACGATTAAACGCGTATGTACGCTAAGTCCTGGCATCGCGGAGTAATTAGTGAATTTCATGCTTAATTCAGGAGAGTTTAAGATAGAGAGCACTCGACTTACTTAAAGCTAAATTAAGTGAATTTATGGGATTCGTTTGATGTACAATGGAAAGTGGCAAGCGAATGGCACCACAATGTCCTCAGGTATGATAGTAATTTTGAAAAATGAACAAACAACACATCATTTCCCTCAGGATCCCAGATCTGAGCCCATTGAATCGAAAAAACAATGCAATGGAATTCGAGTACGGGCCCAATTAGTGAAGATATTCGTTTCCCCTAACTATCAAACCTAAAAAACTTTAGACAATTTGGAGAGCAGCACCCCTAAGGTAAGAGCAGTCTTATTAATTCGGTAATACATTTACTAAAACTGGAGCAATTAGTATGACCCCTACTCAAAGACGTGGGTACAATCACTGGGCGATGTTAGTACGCTCAATCCCAAAGTCAGAGGCCATAAATTCAACTCCAATTAGTGCAGAACCAATGAGAGGAATGACCAACCTCACTGACCAAGCTTGTCTCAAGAAGGGGCTGACTGAAGCTTCCCAGTAGGTAGGGTCAGTGATGATTGCCTTAGGTGACTTCGGAGTTATTATTATTATTATCGTTATTGGCATTAGCAGTTAATGATTAGCGTATTGGCTGAGAACGCTTTCATAGTAAAAGTATTCCCGACAATAAAGAGGCAAACCTAGAGCTCCACTCATACGAAGTTAATAGGATAAACATGAGCAATTTCTTGGAGATCGGGAAATTATTAAGTGAACTAAATCACCGACGTACTGAACGACTGGAGAGGTAGCAGAGGGAAGGAGGTTAGAAAGAAGAGAAAGTAAAACAATTAGGAGAGCTGGGTAAACACAGTTAAACAGCGTGAAAACCAAATTATGAAACCGATTGAAATGAGAAGTTGACTGCGTTAACCTATTTCTCAGAGAAGAATGCTACAGTTAGGACAAACAGATCTACGAGCTGTCTGGTACGAACTATACAAAAACTAGTTTAATATGGATTAGTAGAACAAGTGGGACAAGCTGATCAATGAGTCATCGAGAGGGAAAGGCAGGGACACATTCATAAATTCTTGTCTCAATGCATAAGCATGAAGCCTTCTTTTAAATGAAACGAGCTCTCAAATGATACCATAGAGAACAACCGGAACACAACCCACTCATGCTGAGGAGAATCAAACTCTTAAAGATGGTTTCACGAAATCCGATTGCACAGTGAGCAATATGTACTTCTGTCGGGTCAGAGGTAGCGAGACCATTGCTCGTCGGTGTGAGAGTGACGTAAATAACCAACCAAAATGGTTAATTTTGGTCAAGATGATAGGAACTAGAAGGTGATTTCCTCACTAGGGCGGTTGCAGTAAGCCGTCTCTGCATCCAAATCAAGTGTACTTGACTCCCACAATGTGATTGGAATGTTTTTTTTTAATGCCTCATACTTAGTAAACGACGAACCTCAAAGTCGGCCATCTGTTGAAAATAGAGTCTATTAAAACGCTAACATTTAGGCATAAACAAATTCTCAATAGTGCAACAGAATTAATTTCTACTTTTCTGCTTAGCATTCCCTTGATCCCCCACACCTCACAAAATGAATAAGTGAAGAGAGAGAGAGAGAGAGAGAGAGAGAGAGAATGACACTCACCAATATTGGGGTAGCCCGACCTTGACCTATTGGTGGCTACAACAGCTGTGAGAACCTGAAGCCAAGCCTCCATGATTTCGGGAGTTGCGAAGGATATAAGAGTGGAACTGCCATCCTGGAAGTATAGTCCCAGCGATGTTGGAGATCGTGATGAATTGGAGTTGCCACCATTGGGGGAATTTGGGCCTACTGGAGCGCTGTTTAGTGATGGTATTCCACAAATTGAAGCAGGTCGTTGAGAGGATATCACAGAGATTTCCGTGGAATCGTTTAGTGTTCCTGGCGTCGAGGTGGTCGATATATAGGACTCCTGAAAAAGTGGGAGAGTGGGGGGGGGGGGTTTGTTAAATATTCATAATCCTGAGCGTAGTGAATGCGTGTTACGTGTCATTACATGTACCTTTAAACAGAAGTTTTACCCCTGGACGTCGTTTCTAAACTAGACTCTGACATTTCATTTTAATCGTATAAGTCAATAGCGTATGTTCACTTGCAACTTTTCATAATACTGTTAAGATCTTATTTTAGGTAAATCTTATTTTATTGAATGGTTGTCAGTATATTGCAATTATCTTTTAAATTGAGGGTATCACCACGGTGGTAATCGAGTTAGTCTGGATCATTAGAAGTAAAGGAACGACCAATTCAGTTAGAATAAGGTTTGTACTCACCGCACTACCAGCAATTTCAGAAGACGCAGTATCGGATTTATTATGTTGATGAGAATCCTTGCGTTGAGTCCCTTTCAGATGTTGATGTTGGTGTGCTGACGACGTGGAGTCCTGAGACTTTGACGACCCAATCATGAGTTTTCCCAATGCCGATTTGATGACATCTGTCACCGAGAGACGTCCATTGACACTGACTTGATTAACTCCAGCGTAGACTAAACCCTCCAAACGCACCAAATACTTGGCACCTTTTCGTGAGCCGTCGTCAGCTTGGAGAAACTGCTCGATGGCTTGAAGGGGCAATTGTGGGAGTATTTGACTCGCTGAAGGCGTAGTACTTGGGGAGGAACTTGGGGGATTGGAAATGGCCCACTTGGCTTCATTTTCATAGATGAGGAGATGAGCTTCGGTTAATCCCGGTGCGGCAACAAGGCATAAATAACGCCGTCGCATGCCCTGTAATAGAAGGTAATAACAATGGTTTAGTTCAGAGGCATTAATAAGTTATTACAAATGTTAACACATTTTAGCTATTTGTTTAAGTGACAAAATTATCAATTAGGCGTCCTTTCGAAGCAAACGAGAAAGATGTCTGTCTTAGAGCCCATTTAGAGGAAATAATTTATAATAACTGGTGACACAGTAATGATTCCAATTTCAGTTTTAGAAATGAAGTTAACAGTTACACGGGATGAAAATCGAAATGAAAAAAGCACTCACTAAAAATCCCCTTCTTATCTCAACGAATGGCCCATTCAATTGAATTAACCTCAACTGATGGACTTTTATCCCTCTAAACTTCTGAAACGAGGTGCACGATGGACTTACCTCCGCGTGGTGCACACTGAGTAACTTATACTCTTGCGGCAATAAGTTAACAAATCGGCAGTTGACTTCTGACTTCAAACTATCATGACCCCACTATATGTCATATTCCACAGCACTCCCCTTACCTTTGTGTTTGCTTTGTTTACATTTGGAAAACACCCTGCTGTACCCCCCCTCTCGAATTTTTCTCACTTTGATGTTCCTCCCCTCTGTGAGGCCCGAATTCAACTAAAGGGTCAATGATAACTATCAAACCGCGCTCCCTTTGCTATGAATAAATAAATTACTGAAGCAAAGAGTGATTTACTCTTATAAGTCTTCATCACTCTGGCTCCAAATCGCAGTCTATCAAAACTAACAACTCTGTAGGTCCAAAGTTGGTAGTGGCATCATCATCTAATCTTTCGAAATCGGTAAATTCGGACTCATAACCTCCGCTTTAATCAGACAAATATGAATAAATTTGACAAAACTAATACTAGCCCCTATCAACAGCAACCCATCCAGATATCTTTATAAATGTGTCTCGACTGAAATTGGCCATCCCAGATGGTCAGATCATGAATGCCCTATGGATACAGTGATGACCATTTAAACCTGCCTTAGGACTAAAGTTTCCAAATGCCCTCTTAGCAAAAGTGATGTTGAGGAATTTTTTCAATTTTTGCTCCCCTACGCGTTAAAACGCAAAGCCGAATGGAAGACAAATCGCTGACTAACGATTTAGAAGACCATATTTAGGCATTTGCATATGTGCCAAATGCAAGCCGAGTAGGAAAAGAGCAATCACGACAACCATTTCTTAACTAAATAAACCACCTTAAAAGCCTCTCTGGGTCCTTATGAAGAGAACAACAGTCTGGCGGCATTTTAGAGAAGGAGAAACTTTGTTACTTTCGAACAATCTGAGTATGCCTTTTGAGAGTTTGCATGTCGACATGGCTAACTGAGAAGTGTTAGTTTTCCTGGTTGCAGTCAAGAACGTGGGAATCGAATCATTAGATTTGAACATTACCCAGTGGCAATTACAACTTATAAGAACATCGGGAACTCAGAGTTTCTAGAATACAAATTAACTAACCATTCCTTGTTTGATATCTTATTAGGCTAGGTCCCCTTACCTTATTTAAATTCTATTTCATGATTACAAGCTGTAAAAGTTAATTGGAGTGAACGAACCTTCGTGACTGAAAAATATCGGTAAATAAGATCATAACACTTATGACAACGAAAATAAATTAGTGCTCTCTAACTCCTTTTGAGTTTCCGTTTTTGTCTCCCATAGAGCTATTTTTCTTATTTGTGTGTGTGTGCTTGTGCGTTAAGGTGTTATCCTTGGGTAAAAATTCGTAAAATCTATTTGCACTGTCATAGATGGTATTTCAAATAAACACCAATGTGATAGATGGGGCATGAAGGGCAATTAAAAAGAAACTGAGATTCGTTAATCATATGACTTCATCATTAACACGGATCAATAATTTAAATCAAGGATATTATTACTAAAATTAGACAGGCGTAATCCTTTTGGCCAATAAAATACTCTTACAAAATTAGCACATCTGTCGAATTTGCGCATGACTCATCACCAGTAACCTGAAATCGGCGATAATGAATGGGTTAAATCAGTCATCAACAGTATTCAAATGGAGGCTAAATTTAAGATCATGGCTACATTCTTCTTCAACTTGACAAACAGCACTGAGCTAAGAGACCAAAGAGAAGTGGTGTCCATCGAAATCATTCAATTGACATCCATTCACTACAACCGATCTTGACGCTTTCAGTCAAACGGATTGCCTAAAAAGATCTGTCCTTGTGTTTTTGGTAGAAAACGGCAATACTGAACCGATTTAAATTAAATGAAAATTCAAAGTCAACTCCTCCACTAATCCAAACTAAAATAAGCATAGAATACTAATTTATCGTGACAAAATAACCATAAAATTAGAAATAAAGGGCGCTTAAACTTGATAATAGGCTAGAATTCAGCTCAATTAAAAGTATCCCACTAATATAAATTGATAAATTTTCGCAAACAGAAGGGATTGCGAAGCACGTCAGATGTGCCTAACTATTAGCCTAATTACAATTAAAAAGCAAAGCTAGCTAACTAGCTGCATAGCAAACGCCGTCTAAAATCTGCGACAATTAATAGCTCGAGAACGTGTGTGCACACGGGTGCCACAAAAATCCACACTTTCCACGCGCTACTCCAGCCAATACCAGGAGATGAAAAGTCCCACTGACGCACTGCACGCATCGAGGTTGTGCGAGAGCGCAGCGATTTATTAGGGTATGCGCCAACTTTAGCTTGCCTTGGCCACTAAGCCAATCACCACACAGACACGTGCAACGCACGAGCGTAACATATTTTCGTAGGCCGACTACGAAGTAAACAAACAAAAGAGCCACTAAATCGATTGATTGGTCCAATTGGCATGTGCACAAAGAGAACAATGGAGAGAGGGGGATTATATTGAGAACGCAGGAAGATTTCAAGGAGTAACAATAGAAAATAGGTTAAAAAATTAGCTACATAAGAATGACTGGAAGCGTTGGTTTAGAATTCTTGAAAACGAATCTAATAGAGTAATTTGATGTAAAATGAACATGAAGAGAAAACCAATATGTGTGCAAAATAATAAATATCTGACAAAGGTAAAATAAATGATTTTACCATAGAAATATGAAAGAAGAAATTCAAAAGCTGATGATGTAAAGAACAGTTAGAGATAGTAACTAGGTAAGAGAAATTGTTTCCGATTCTGGCAATAGACCGAAAATAGGAAATACTACGGTGAATACCAGACAAAATTAAGAAGCCAGAAAAGAGATGAGTCTTAAAAGAAAACTAGAAAGGAAGATATAAACTTCGATAATCTAAATTAGAAGGATCTAAGTTATATTCATAATAATAGCACAAAGACCTATTAAAGAAAGGGAAGATTTAGATTAGAGGTTTTAACATTTATGGCGATTGCGAAGACTAAATGCAATTGAAAAGAGAATGCAAACAAACATAGGCATTTATTCACACAATAACACCTCTTTTTAAAAGCATATAGCAAAAGAAGTATGATATAAAACATTTTTAAAGCATGAAGGTAAAAATTATTTAACGGTTTCAACAAAAACTAACCTTCATACAGGCATAACTGTGAATTAAAGTGGAAAATTCCATATGAAGAAATTACAAAAGATTGGTTGATGTGGAAATTATGATTTTCAGGAAAAATATAAATTTTAATACGTCTAGATCCCCGTACTAAACAATCAAATATACATTTGATATCTAGAGCGTCTTAAGGTGCACTTAAATGAAACACTAAAACAAACCAAATAATATAATATATGGAAATAAGATATGCTTTAAAGCTTCTTAGATAAAGCAAAAAATACTTTTTCTAATATATAATTCCACTGTATTAGTGCAAGTAAAATTGTTAAAGCGAGATCATAGTTTGTATTATTAGAGATATTAATAAATGCGTCCATAACTTCTTTCTCTTATGAGTCTGAACACTTTGGTGCAGTTTAATCTTTGAGGTGTCTGAAATATAGCAGATAATATTTAAAAATAAATTGATATCTAACAATTTGTTTAGGCAAAAAAAATTATTTCAATTCATCGTAATTACACCAATTACTCTGTATTTCTACAATCCATTTAATATAATGAATATAATAAAAAATAGAGAGATAGAGAGCAATCTTACTAAATTTAAAACGGGCCAAAGATAATATATTTTAGAAGATTTAGATTTTGCCTTTCTAAGACTACTTTAGGTTACATGCGCGTAAATGAATGGTAACTTCGTTTTTCTTATGTCAAATTTCCAATGGATAATATACTTCAATGAATGCATTGCGTTTGATAGTTTTATCAACAAAACCTCATTCATTAAACAAATGAAATGGAAAAGAACTTGAATTCAATCGCTTTTTACATAGTATTTGGATTTATAACGTTGAACGGTTAGTGCGTTATTTCTTGTTGATCAAAGGTAAGTGAACGTTGGTTTATCAGTATCGCTGTTACCTTAGCCTTGTTTGTAAAGAACTCAATTAAAGGCTTGATTTGATGAATAAAAAAAACATATTAGCTGTTCTAGACCATTATGAATGATGTTTATATCCGGTAAAATATGATGCCATATCAAAAAGAAATCACGTACGCCAGTCTGCTACTATGAGAGATGTTTTGTAATACGATTAGGTTAATTTCCTCTTTATGCAAGAAATCTGAAAGCCTATAAATTGTGACTCCCAAAATAAAAGCAAAAACCTCAAAATGTTTAGCATTAACGTGATTTTGCTATTATTAAATACGAAATTAGAAATTAATATCAAAATGATAAAATTGATGAAGTTGATTACGAACCAACATTCGCTATTTTTCATTTTTAATGCTCCATACTCATATACTTGTTTATTTTTGTTCATAATCTAGGGCGTAAATTGGTCATCTTTGCTCTCATGATGTTCGCACCTGCGGGGTTCTCTATGCTACCGGAGAAAAAACAACAATCTAAGGGTTTTTTCCTTGATATTTATGAAGATCCATTTAAATGGTCTGATAAAAACTCATTTGTTTATTAATTATTTATTACTTAGGTCTTTAGTTAAGAGCGTTGGCCTCTACGGCTTTGGCATTCTTGGCTTCTTCGTAATTAACGCTGGTATGAACGCCCCACCGGAACTCCTGTAGAATATCGAGATTTGATTAATATATGCTTTGTTATATATCTCTTTTTAGATAATAAATTGTGTTAAATAAGCTATTGTAGTCTCTATGGCGTCTTTATTTTCTTTCGCCTCTTTTCAAATCATCATATCTGGTTATGTAGGAACAGACAGACGATAATATTGTTCGGTGCCGTTCTCGCCTTACAAGGCATCGCAGGCGACAATCTCGGGTTCGAAAGTTAATTCTTCAAAATCTTCTCAATTGCGATTTATCATCGTCAGAATTTGACCAACCCGATGACAATTTTTTTGAAAATTTACGTGAATATTCTCGTTTGAAAACTCTCAAACATTACTTAAAGCTTCGTTCAAGGAGTTCATTTGACGAAATAAGCTTAAGAAATTCCCTTATCATGTAGGGTACTACGAATTTCCCTTTGGTCAATGTAATCAATTTGGAGGATTATAATTCCATCCTTGTTGTATGATATATTTTAGGCCATCTATTAGGTGTATTCAGCCATCCCGTTTGTCTGGGTCAATTCAACGTTTGCTTTCATTGAATAAAGTTGGAGTAACAGTGTGTGACGGTCGAATTGTCCGTGCCAAAGTGGATGAGGAGACATCTAACGCCGAATCAGACACTGCTGATTCCTCTGACCCTGTTTTTCCTGGCACTTCAACCTTTCTTAAAGGTACACAGAGTGCTAATCCTCACAATGACTACTGTCAGCATTTTGTAGATACTGGTAAACGACCACAGAATTTCATTCGAGATACCGGTAAGATGTTCTTATTCAATCTTATCTTATATTCTATATCCGTTAAGTCCAGCTAAGATTTGTTTGTCTTCATTCCGTTTCTCACCCGACTGACCTCTGTTTTGGTTTTTTACTTAATATTACTAATTTATGAATCCTAGCGCACTGTTTTATGCGATTTGCTCTTGTTAGGTTTAGCTATTAAAGATCGGAAAAAGTGCCAATTATTATAAAGTTCATCTAGTTGTAGACACATCCGAAGAAGGGAGGAAGGATTTCCTTATATATTGCTTCATTAGAAATTTGTTCCCAATCTGTTCAGTCTCGGGCATTCATTTACATTTTTCCCACAGGCCATGTAGCTTATTTCATTGAAAGCATTTCATCCTCTCTACAGCAAAAAGTTGTGTTGACTCCTTATTTAATAGTAATGAAATTGTTTGAAAGCTCTGTTGACTAGTTTTGTATTCTAAGTAGGGATTTATTAGAGAGCATCATTTAGACGATGCTATATAGAAACAAAGATTATGAGGGATAAATTGGAGGGTACAAGGAGGAGGGAACACAAATATTTTACCTCAGTAGCTACTACTGTCTCCAATGGCTCAGAATTGGTTCACTCTGCGTCCATGTTGGTCTGCGTGCTGGGGAAATTGCTAGCTTTGTCTACTTCTTATTTGTACCAACGTGTTTAATATCTAACTGGGGTAAAGCATATCTCAGCGTATGGTTGTTTTAATTATACTTGTATTTTTCAAATCTAGGACTGAGACATCGCTTTGAAGAATATCCCAAGTTGCGAGAGCTGATTCGACTCAAAGACGAACTCATACAGTCCCGTGTTACTCCACCGATGTACCTCCGGACTGATTTGCATACCTTCAATCTCCTTGATCTCAACTCCGTCTTTGATGTTATCCTTGTGGAACCGCCACTAGATCGGTCTTGGTCTTGGGAGGAGGTAAGAGGTCCACTTTGTTACATACACCTGAATGGAATCCCTTTTGTTCAAAACGTGATAGTACATGTTTTTTCTGTTTGGTGCGCTGCTATATTAACACAGGTTGGTTTGTTGAGGTCCAAGTGCTGGAGTCGCAAAAATTTAAAGCTGGAGATTAAAAGGGCAGATGATTTTGTACCGAATAACACTAATGAGCTTTAGCTGGGAGAGAAAGTGATGAAGAGGGTCAGAGGGGTTGGCTGAAGTATCTGATTGTAGGAGTTTGTCGGTCAGAATTGGCGAGGAGTCAAGTAGATACCTGCTAAACGGGTGAAGGGAAGATTACACCCGACTGGAGTAGTTAAAAACCATTTTGGAAATTCATCTGTGATGAGTAATGCCTGAGACCCTTTTGGTGTACCTGCCAAGGCATGCAATGTGGTAAGGTCTTGTACGTTGATGACTAGTTGTCTTAATACCAGAAGCAATAAATCATTTTTACTTTAAAAGTTCTAGGTGTTTAATCTATTACTTGATGGCAATATTCGATCGTTGTAGGCAATAAGGCTACATTTGGCTGTGTCATCAGCAACAAAAGAATGAGTGGTTGAGAGTTTAATACATTTAGAAGATTTACGATATACAATTCAGTTATACTATTGTTAGAGTTTCATTCAAAATAATCTCTTTTAGCGTCTATTCGGCACTTTTCCTAATGTGGATATCAAAACTTGCTTTCATTCTGTACTTTACTTAGACTTCTGTTGTTCTGGCACTTTGCTTAATTATTTTTTCTCGCAAACTATTCATGATTTTTTTTCTGGAGTGTGGCAGGAGGGTTTATCTTGTTCATTATTGACTATTTTTGTTGCCCAGGGCCAAATTTGTATTGTAGGAAACAGTTTCACTTTGTCACCTGAATTCTACTCTTTCAAAAATGTGAGGTGAGTGGTCACATTGCACTCGGAGTATGGCACATCCGAAAACCATGACTGGTCGGGGAAATTTAACTTAATTGATTCGAGGAGTATCCTATGTGAATTGTTGGGCTTTTTTGATGTTGGCAAAGTTGCTCTCATCGCAAAAGTACCAGATTATTCGTGCTTCAGAAATTTCTTTGCCTTTCTCTGAAGACGATTGATTTTGGTTGTCTTCTGCAAGAAGTGTATCTGGTCACTGTGGCCTTAAAGGCAATGATCTTGCTGACGCACTTGCTAAGAAGGGGACAACAATTTTGTTAGGCATAGACCGACCTACGTCTTTCCACACAATGAAGACCTTAATCAGAAGAGAATTCAAGACCTCAAGGTGCAACGATTATAGGAGAGACCGACCTCAATGTGCAACGAAATTAAAGCTCGAACAAAGGAGAAACAGTGGCACTCTCCGACATAGCCGACTGGAAGAGAATTCAAGACCTCAAGGTGCAACGAACTCAAAGCTCGAACAAGGGAGAAATAGTGGACAGTGGCACTCTCCGAAATAGCCGACTGGCTAAGAATCGAAGCCGTTGCTGAGTTTAACTTTGGCCAAGAATCGAAGCCGTTGCTGAGTTTAGACTACGTACCGGACGGATTGCCTGGCAAAACACCTTCAAAGATTGGGAGTATACAGCAGTGGACAGGGGCACTCTCCGACATAGCCGACTGGTCAAGAACCGAAGCCGTTGCTGAGTTTAGACTACTTACCGGACACGATTGTCTGGCAAAACACCTTCATAGATTGGGAGTATACACTCAACCCACATGCCTCCTATGTAACCTACAGGAGGAAATGGAGAAGACCCACCTGATTCGATGTCCAGCCCTAAAGACAACGACGGAAACCCAGAGATACTGGGAAGCCAGAAGGCGGCTAATGAGCTGCTATATATGTACCCCCCTCACATGGGGAAACCTGAAGTCAACTAAGGGGCTAATGATAAATATAATAAAGCCTGACATTTGAAATAAAAATAATCTCCACGACGCTTATATATGCGAAAGTCTCGATTAAAAAATTGAAACGCTCAACTAACTGTGATGAGAAATCCCAAATTCGGTATACTCCAGTATATTGTGATTGGTTTCATTTTTCACTACTTCTACTAACTGAGACATTTCCCTGTTCATAATATGTATCAGCTTGCAAGCATTTCGAGAGAAATTTTGTCTTGAACCTAATATCAACATTAGTTGTGAAATGGTACTATGCAATGTTTTAGCCGATCTTTGTGTACTAAACTTAAAACATTTAGGAATTATGGACTCGAAGAAGGTATGGTTGCGAAACAGTGATGCTGATATTTCATTGTTCTTACACAACTTTGTTTGAGCTGAGATCTAGATATTTATCACCATCCACTAAACTAGCAGTCAATAAACTATGGCCATTTTGAATGTCCTTCTAGATCGAGATGTTGGAAATCGAAAAGATCGCAGCGCCGCGCTCTTTCATTTGGATTTGGTGTGGTAGTGGCGAGGGACTAGATGGAGCCAGGAAAGTAAGTGAACTCTGAACTTCAACCTCTGAACTTTATCTTAACTCTCTGTATATGAGTAACAATTACTCGCTTCTCTGCTCTCACCTAGTGTCTCAAAAAGTGGGGTTTTCGAAGATGCGAGGACATTTGTTGGATTAAAACAAATAAAAATCGACCAGGTCACGACCAATTGGAACCAGGTGCAGTTCTTCAACGTACCAAAGAACACTGCCTAATGGGAATTCATGGAACTGTTCGACGGTCAGTTGATGGAGATTTCATTCACGCAAATCTAGATATCGATTTAATCATTAGCGAAGATCCTAAATCCACTGGTCTTACGTATGGAGGGAGGGATAAACCAACAGAAATATTCCACATTATTGAACATTTTTGTTTGGGTAGACGCCGACTCCATTTGTTTGGGCGTGATAGCACTCTCAGAGCTGTGAGTGCTCTAATTTTAAACCCTAACTTCGCATGCTACTGAAATGTAGTTAGTAGATTGTTCTCTCTTAGGGATGGTTAACCGTTGGCAGTGAACTCTCAGCTAGCAATTTCGACGCACAAGTCTACTCGGGGTACTTTACGCGGGAACCGAATGGACATTTGGTGGGGAGTACGGAGGAAATCGAGCGTTTGAGACCCAAATCACCACCTTCATCGCATTCACTTCAGGCAGGTGCAGGGACACAAAATTCCTCTCTGCCTTCTTCTTCGGCTCCTTTAATTAGACAGGGAAGGGAAGGTATAACGCCCTCACTTCTGGGTAAACCAATTCCTGGTGGAAGAATGAACCAATCTCATCACCAGAACAGGATTGATCAGAGATCTCTATTGAATTTAGTATCATTAATAGCTCAGAACAATCTCCCCAACCAACAACACCAAATGAACCCCTTACTATCGTCGCTCGGTGAGTAAATCTGTGTTAAAATATCTCTTAAAAGGTTATTCTATAATATTGTAGCCCGGTTCAGTTCCAAACTTTCCACACAGTTACGGTCATTCTTGGTGATCTTACATAAAACACATTGAGAAGAACCCTCTGTTGTGTGTATCCTAGTGTTCATTTTTCAGTGAATATCAATGCATTACACTAAAAGCACTATACTTCAATCCTCTTGCACATATTCTCTTATAATAGGAAAGAGTATGTTGAAAAACGCAGTCACGAATAAAATCGCCTTGTAATCTTGCCTGTTTCTTTTAAGTATGGGCTTTCTCCCTCAATAAATGCCAAAAAGATGTAGTGTTGGAGAGGAAGAAAGAGCCACGGGAGAGAAGGGAAGTGGGGGGGGGGTATTTTTAAAAGATCACAACAAAGATGTAGAAAGCTGGTTCCACAACCTAAAAAAATGTAAGAACTATTTTATTCTCGAAGGTAAAACAACGCGAACTTCTGATTCTCTTGGATCGGATTTACCTCTACAAACATCTTATCTGCTCCAACACACTTCACAGGGTATTAATCTCCCTCTTTCGGGCCAATTCAACAACCTACAAATCAACCCAAGCTGCTTCGGTACAAATGAAAGGATACAGGCACTGGCGTTACAAATGTTTGCTGCTGCAAATCAAAACACCTCAACCACTCCCACAAACTCTTCTATTTTTAAATAACAAAAGAAGTCACCTGTGCATTATTTATATATCGTTCTTTTTGATTAATGTAACATAAATAAAAATTTGATATTGCCTAACAGCCTCTGGGTGGAAGTGGCAGTGACAGAGAAGGGCAAAGATAACACAGCTTCTGCCGGAGGATGTTATATTTCATAGAAAAGTAATTGTTGCTATAGATGAGGAGGGGAGAGGAGGTTAGTTGAAGGACGGCGAGGAGGGAGTAGAAGGAAGTAGTGGAAAGGGTGGAGTGAGTGGAAGGGTAGACGCTG